TGCTGCTGATTTTTCATTGGCTGGTGAGGTCTCATTGCTTCACTTCGTCCTTTGGGATGGAATGAGAATGATCATGAGTTGCTCCATTTGAAGCTGGTTTTTTTGCCTGCTGCTGCGTTGATCTTGTGTGTTTTAAGGATGTTCTGATTGTGGTGCATTTCCAGTTATTGTTGTACTGAACAGTATTTATTTATAGTTATTAAATTTGCATACTGCCCTTCATCCGTAGATGTCAGGGCAACTTACAGCATAAAAATACATAATATTTTTTTTAAAAAACCACAATAAGAATGAAAACAAAAGAAACCAATAACAAACCCCCTGCCCACCGACTGAACTGTTGTTGTTTAAACACTGAATTGCTGCTAGGGATGGCACCGAGGACAACATCTGTGTCATGCCCAATTGTGTGGGGGTTTTAAAGACCATCTCCAGGTATGGCTGGGGGAAAACCCAGTCTAAAATCCTGGAAAGACCCTGCCAGTCAGTGTAGACAATGCTAGATAGATCAGTGGTCTGATTCAGTATAAGACAACTTCTTCTGTGATTCTTCGGATTCTCAAGTGTCCCTATGGAAGTGTCCATTTGGGGGGGAAACTCCCAAAACCTGACCTTTACATATTGAGATGTCTCCTTAATTTGGATTTATGTGGAGGTTTCTTTCAGTTCTGAAATATCTAGGTTAAGCAAGGAGGAGTGGGAGCCTGAGTGCACCCAGCAATGCAACACAGCTCTGTGAGCAAGAACATAGCCAGATGATGATATTTGTATTCAAATATTAAGTTCAAATACAAAAGGCGGGGAGCATATTAGCTGTAAAAATGAGACCTGTCATGTAGCATAATGAAAACGAGCCAATGTGGAAGAAATTATTATCTGTACAGTGGGAAGTCGGATAATAACAACCATATTTAACAAACACGACGGAGGGGAACCTGTCAGAAGCCAGGAAATTAAAATATATCCAATTGTTAAAGCAGAAGACGACCGACTTCCTTAGGCCTGGTCCTGCAGGCGCAGACCTAAAGGAGGAAGCTTTCAAGCGTTCATCTGTGAGAGATGAAATTGTGAAAGCTTCAATTTCATATTTCCATCCTATGCTGAGTGGTCCCAAAGGAAAGCATGAGTGGTACCCCCACCACCTTCACCACAAAACTCTGCCTGATGTTTCTTGGTTACTTGCGGGGTGAGGAATAAAGTGAAGGGCGTTGGCATAGATCAACACAATGGGGGGGGCATGCAAAAAATAAAATTAAAAGTACCAAATGGAGTGCAGATCTCTAAGAAGGGGTGTAATATGCTGGCATGGAAGTGAGAGCTGGACCATAAAGAAGGCTGATCACCGAAGAATTGATGTTTTTGAATTATGGTGCTGGAGGAGACTCTTGAGAGTCCCATGAACTGCAAGAAGATCAAACCTATCCATTCTTAAGGAAATCAGCCCTGAGTGCTCACTGGAAGGACAGATCCTGAAGCCAAGGTTCCAATACTTTGGCCACCTCATGAGAAGAGAAGACTCCCTGGAAAAGACCCTGATGTTGGGAAAGATGGAGGGCACAAGGAGAAGGGGACGACAGAGGATGAGATAGATGGTTGGACAATGTTCTCAAGGCTACCAGCATGAGTTTGTCCAAACTGTGGGAGGCAGTGGAAGACAGGAGTGCCTGGCATGCTCTGGTCCATGGGGTCATGAAGAGTCAGACATGACTAAATGACTAAACAACAACAACAAATATGCTGGCAGGATCCCACTCCTGTCAGCAGTTGTGCTGCAGCATTTTTGCAATAAATGCAGCTTCCAAATCAAGTGCAAGGGAAGCCCCACATAACATGCGTTGCAGTCATTCTGTCTTGATATATACCAATGCCTGATACGTAAGTGGAATCACCAAAATCTAAAGCTCTGGGTAAGTAGTGAACACCTCTTGTCTCCAGAGCGCATGTTTGCAAAAGTATGTGCATATAAATACTAAGGAATCATGCAGTGACCACCTGCCTCTTCACACACTGCAGCTGCTGGGATGTATTTTAAACTGCTGACAATATCCAATTCTAGACCAATTATGTTCCTCTAGTATATATTTAACCAAAAGAATGAACATGAACCTGGTGTTTAAGTCAGTGGAGGCCTGGTGAATGCTGACTTGGTGAATACGAGTGCTAAAGGCAGAATAGAGTCCTCAGGAATGGGTTGCTGTGATTAGGGTCCTGGATATGAGAACTGGAATGTTACAGCTCTGTCTCTATTTTAATCTGACATTTTGGAGGAGGAAACTGGGTCCACCCATCTCTTATTCCTCTGATAACTTCATGCAAGGAATGGAGAGCCAGCATGGTGTAATGGTTAGAGTGTTGGACTATGACCTGGGAAAGCAGGGTTTGAATCCTCACTCAGCCATGAAGCTCATTGAGAGGCCTTGGGCCAGTCACTTGAGGTGGTAGATGATTTTGTCTACCTGAGCTCCACCATAGCCAACCAACTCTTTATTAACACTGAGTTGGGAAGTGTATTGGCAAGGCAGCTATGGTAATAGCTTGCCTCTACAAAAGGGTGAGAGAATGTGATGCTAACAGGGAAAAAGGTAAAGGACCCCTGGGTGGTTAAATCCAGTAAAATGTGACTATGGGGTGTGGCCCTCATCTTGCACTCAGGCCAAGGGAGCCGGCATTTGTCTACAGACAGCTTTCCAGGTCATCTGCCAACATGACTAAACCACTTTCAGCACACGGAGGACTGTGACGGAAACCAGAGTGCATGGAAACACCATTTATCTTCCCGCCACAGTGGTATCTATTTATCTACTTGCACTGGTGTGCTTTCGAACTGCTAGGTTGGCAGGAGCTGGGACAGAGCAACGGGAGCTCACTCCGCCGTGGGGATTCGAACTGCCGACCTTCTGATCGGCAAGACCAAGAGGCTCAGTGGTTTAGACCACAGCACTATTCGCATCCCTGTGATGCTAACAACCAACAGCAAGATGAAGGTCTACCAGTCTTGCGTGTTGAGCAAGTTGCTTTAAGGTAGTGAGGCATGGGCAGCTTACACCACACCTCAGTGCCTTCCACATGTTCTGTGTCAGTAAAATTTTTGGAATCACATGGCAGAAACAAAGATATGTTCTCCCAAGCCCATATTCCCAGCATGCCTACACTGGTTTGGTCATGTTCACAGAATGGAAGATGGCAGGAACCCCAAGGATGTGCTTGATGGGGAGCAGGCTTCAAGCACCAGGCCCATTGGCAGACCGACTCTGCATTACAAAGATGTCTGCAGACGTGACATGAAGGCTGGCAGCATCAACCCCACCATGGGGGAATCCCTTGCAGATGACCACAGTGCCTGGAGACAGTCAGTCAGGTCATGTATCCATAGCAGTGACCAGAGGAGGAATGACCTCTGGAGGGAGCTCAGAGAGAAGAAATGCCATGGTACACCTGCAGCAGCAGCACAACCGGACACCTTCACACTAACTCTCCAACAGTTTGAGTTCACCCTCAAAGGCGCACTCTACCCTTGTCTCAGGAGACAGATGGATGCCAAACAAACACACAAATGGAAAAGGAAGGTCTGGCATGAAAGCCATGGTCTGGTCTGAGTATGGACTTGATGGACCTGTGGCATCTGATGGAGAAGTGCCCATCATCTCAGGAGAGTGCATTTGCTCCTGCCAATCAGTGGAAGCCTCTCGGGCACCTGGAGTGGTGCGAACCATCCATAGGGGCAGGGTGCATGGTGGTGCGCGGCGCCCATAGGGGCTAGGGATGGGGCACGCGGTGCCAATAGGGACGAGCAGAGGCAGAGCTAGTGGCAGCGTGCATCCCAGGGGGGTGCGCCAGCAGCAGGGAGCATCTGGGGGGGGCAGCGCCTGTGGTGATGTCGCCACCCCTCAGGGATGACACCCAAGGCAGGCCACACCCACCTTGCTCCGCCTCTGCTGCCAGTGTTCATTCGAGTGTTCCTACATACCTCTCTGTTTCCTCTTCCACCGCCCAATGCCTTCTGTTGCCTCTCCCCTAAGCGTTCAAGACTGCATATGTTGGAGAGCAAAAGGCATTCTGTCTTCCTGCTCTTGCCTCCCGGCACACCTGGGGCAGATGATTTTGTTACAATAAGGCAGGCATTCCTTGTGCCTTTTCGCTGAAAGGATGTTCAGGTAAACATCAAGAGCCTCTTTTATTCACGTCTGCTGGCATATAAAGGCAGAAGGAGAGGGGGGGGAGAGAGAGAGATGTCTACAGGATGGTAAATGTCTTTCAGGGAAGCAAATGTAGAACCCTGTGATTCTACACACACGCACACCCCTCCCGCTTCTCTTTTTATGCTTCGTTAAGTTAAAGCAATATTTATTTTATCAGCCAAGAGTCTTGCCTCTCTAGGACGTTATTCCCATTGTGAGTGTCAAGAAGCTTTTCCTCAGTCCATGTCTTTAAAGGGCTCGCTTCGATAAAGCACCTTTTTATTTTAGGTCAGGGAACATATAGATATATAATATTCAGAATCTATGTCTCCTTCAGCCCCACACCTTGACACTGAGCATAATTGAGGAGGTTAGCATTGGCATGCTCTTACCTATTACCTGTCGTTTGAAATATGACAGTGCTGTAACTGCAGGACCTGGGGGACTCCAGCACTTGGGCTGTGCCATCTGATTTGCCTGACAGCCTCTTACTGACTTCGACCCTAAGATAATTAACATGGCCCTGGGGGCCTCTGCTGCCTTGCCTTTGCCTGCTTGCTTAATAAGGTGTTTGTTGCTTTCCTCTCTCTCTCTCTCTCGGTGTGCGAAGAACCTTCTGATTGTTGCTGCAATAAGGAGTATCAGCCATGACTGTCTGCTGGTTAACTGTGGCTGGGACTTCTGTTTAATCATTAAAAAAGAAGAAGAAGCAGATTAAAATTCCACAACATGTTAGCCAGCTGTTCTGCAGGGTAGGGCAGAACTCCTTTAGTTCTGCAGAGAAGGCATCTTAAGAATAGACAACCAGGAGGTAACAAGAAAAGGGATGTAGCTCAGTGGTACAGCATCTATCTTGCATACAGAAGATGCTGAGTTCAATCCCTAGCACCTCCAGGCTAGGCTGGGGAAAGACATTGTGTGCAGATGGTCTCAGGTTCAATCCCCAAATCTCCATATTGGAATCATCATCATCATCATCACCATCATCATTTATTACTTATACCCAGCCCATCTGGCTGGGTTTCCCCAGCCACTATTAAAAACACGATAAAACACCAAACATTAAAAACTTCTCCAAACAGGGCTGCCTTCAGATGTCTTATAAAAGTCTGATAGTTGCTTATTTCCTTGACATTTGATGGGAGGGAATTCCACAGGGCGGGTGCCACAACCGAGAAGGCCCTCTGCCTGGTTCCCTGTAACATCACTTCTCACAGTGAGGGAACCACCAGAAGGCCCTCGGAGGTAGACCTCAGTGTCTGGGCTGAATGATGGGGGTGGAGACGCTCCTTCAGGTATACTGGACCGAGGCTGTTTAGGGCTTTAAAGGTCAGCACCAACACTTGTGCTCGGAAACGTACTGGGAGCCAATGTAGGTCTTTCAGTACCAGTGTTATATGGTCTTGGTGGAAAAAGCCTCCCTGTCTGAAACCCTGAAGGGCCACTGCCAATCAGTGTATAGAATACTGAGCTAAATGGACACACTGCTGGTCTATGACCATAATAAACTGGTTGATTGAGCTAAATGCACCAATGGGCTGATTCAGTCTAAGGCAGCTTCTTTTTGTTCCTTTGAGCAGGTAGATGGTTAAGATGCAAATGTTATCAAGGACAGGAGTGCAGCAAGTCAAACGGCTGTGTTTTATTGTATTTCCTTTGGTTCCAGAGTTAGAAGCTACTGAACAAACGCGCTGCTTAACCACAAATAGGGAATTATATATAGCACATATCAAGAATGCAAACACAGCTTACCAGACGGGGAGACATTCAACTGGTTAGCTCATAAACACCAATAAATTCAAGCTTCATTATATGGGCACTAAGGAAATTAGAAAGACAAATCAATGGAGCTTGTCACACCCATATGGCAGAAAACCTTTTAAATCTATATTCCTTGCTGTGAACATTATGCAAATTGGGAATTAGGAGCAAAATGGAAAATATACCATTCAATATTATTTGGTCATTTGAGAGGAGATATCTTCAAAGAGCAGATTTCAAGGAAAGAAACATGGGCGGGGGGGGGACACCCACAAATACAAGAAGACAAAGCTGGAAAATAGGTTTTGTTTTTTTAATGCAAGCATAGTAGAAATTGAGTTGGAAATAGCTTGGGTTTATTAAGGACTTACTGGGAACAGTTGGTTGTATTTCAGAATAGAACCCCTTCAAATTGTGCCCGACCCATTTTATTTCAGCCGCTTCCTATGGGGTGGAGAGAATGGGGCTAGAGAAGGGCAAGGAGACAGCAACACTAAGGTTATGTGGGTGCAAGAGATTGGCTCCACCTCCGCACCTATACAGCCCTGACCTTGCTGCCACCCTGACTCACCCCAGCCCCACCAGGTGAGCAGCAGTGGCCCACCAGGTCACTACTGAGTGCTGCATAAGAACAGAATAAAATCTTGTTGGTTTAGGATATGACCCATCTAGTGTAGCAACCTGTTCTCACAGTGGCCAATGCCAACCAGATGCCCACTGTGGATATTTTCACCCCCTTCCATTGCAAGAATCTCCTGGTGTTTTCAGAAAGGAGGGGGCAGAAACTGCTCTTCGCTTCTTCCACTCCTTCCTGACTCTGTGGGGAGTCTCTGTGTTATCTCTGTAGTGATTAGATGGCTGAGTGAGAGCTGTAACACTCATGCAAGCCAGTACCTCCTTGGTTTTAGTTTGCAGTAGCTATTAGAAAATAAAGAAGTTATGCTTCACAGCTTTCTTCCGTGTCGCTCATACTCTGCTGAGTTTGGTGCTCACAATGGACAGTTGTGGGTCCAGTGCTCTTAGACCTGATTTCCAGGAGTGAAAGGTCTCTGGAAGTGCACCAGTTCACCTAGCCCAGTCGGGGCAGAACCGGTTATTGAGCCCAGTCATTGGCATTGGCTCAAAGGCGTACTGACACCCACTAGCAGGAACCAAGTCCAGGAACACCATTCCCTGCTGCAGTTTCCAGCAATTGGCATTCAAAGGCAGGCTGCCTCCAAGAGTGTAAGGAGAACATAGCCATCAGGACTAGTAGACTTATTGATAGCCTTATCATCCATGAATTTGTTGATGATGCCACTCAAGTTGGTGGCTGTTGTAGGAGCAAACTCCATAAGTGCAACTTAAGTGCTGTGTGAAGTACTTTCTTTTCTCCATCATGAATCTTCCAGCTTCAGCCAACGTTATTAAGTAAGTACATAAGAAGAGCCTTGCTGGATCAGACCAGAGGCACATCTAGCCTGACATCTGGCCAACCAGATGCCTATAGGAAGGAGAACCTGAGAGCAATGGTCTCTGCCAACTTGTGATTCCCAACACCTGGCATTCAGAAGCCTGCTGCCTCAGACATGATGTTGTATAATATGAAGTGTTAGTAGCTGTTTTACTACTTCACTGAACAACAAAAACAATATGGCCTCCCTGTGGCCTCACCAGCATCCAAGATGGAATGCGTGGAGAGGAGGGCCACCAAGATGATAAAGGGCCTTGAGAACAAACTGGTTGAGTGTGTTGGGCGTGTTTAGCCTGCAGAATTTTAATTAGTGATTATTGCGGGGGGTGGGTGTTCATTCATGCAGGACAGTTTACTGTTTACTGTGGAGGTTTGAAGGAATTTGTTTTGGCCTCCTCATCTGAAGTTTCATACACAAGAATCAAAGCCTATTGATTTCCCATGTTTACTTTCTTTGACTAGTTTTGTCAGTATTAGCTCACTTTTATATTGAAATATATTTGTCCTGTGTTGACATATTCCACAGAAGATGTGGCCTGTTAAGAATTTAGTTTTTGGAGGTTTCGTACATTCGGTAAATATTTTACTGAGGTAAAGAACTCAGTATTCTTAAATAAAGTTAAGGGGTGTGTGATATTGGTTGATAGGGTTTTTGTTTAGGACCATTCAGTTGTTTGCGTATGAAACACTAGATTGCCACTTGAGGTAAGGGAGATTCCTGAGGAGCCGGTTGTCACATAAGGTACCAATCACAGAATCACAGAATTGTAGAGTTGAAAGTGACCATGATGATCATATAGTCCAACCCTCTGCGGTGCATGAATATATCACCCAGCCTGGAGCTTGAACCCACAACCCTGAGATTAACAGTCTCATGCTCTACCAACTGAGTCCAAATGCTGTGCTGCTTCAAACCCAGTTGCTGAAACTCTTTTGAAGCTCTCATCTGGGAGCCACTGTGTAAGATGGCACTCACACCTGGCAGGCTCTGGAAAAATAGGTGGCACAAGTGGCTCTGATTTCACACACACACACACAGAGAGAGAGAGAGAGAGAGAGAGAGAGAGCACACACTATTTGGTGCCACCTGGTGGGCTTACCAGCCATAGAAGCAGTTCTACAATCTGCAGTGGACAACCAGACTTCCTCATCCCTCCAAAACAGGAGTGGGGGACCTGTGGCCCCTACAGATATGATTGGGCTATATCTCCCATCATTCCTGATCACTGCCCATGCTGTCTGGGGCTGATGGCATGGCAAATTCAACAACACCAGGAGTGCATGGCCCTCCAGACCATCTTGGACTCCAGCTCCCATCAGCTCCAGCCAGCATGGACAATAGGCAGGAATTGCAGGTATGGTTGTCCAGCAACGTCCGGGGTGCCCCAGCTTCCCCCTCCCTACTCTGAAAGCTATAAAAGGCTGCTCACTAGTTTCAGCAACAAAGTCTTTCTGCTGGGATGTTCCCCATAATGAATTGCCTCCTTAGGATGAGAAGGTGTTTCTGCTAAAGAGTCAGATCTGTAGGTCAGTCTAGGGTTCCATCTGTGCTATACATTGGAAGCAGTAGCATACTGCTTCAGACAGGCATGGCTTCCCCCCCAAAGAATCCTGGGAACTGTAGTTTGTTAAAGATGCTGAGAGGTGTTAAGAAACTTGTTTCCCATTAAGATTGGCAGTTCCCAGAGAGGTTTAACCATTAGCCCAGGAAACCCTGAGGAAGCCCCACTGCTGAACAGGATTAACTTTAAGACAGATTCATTTACATCATCTTGCTTTACATCAGCTTCATGTGTTCAGGGTTGTTTCCTATGCACATTTAACACTGGAGTCAGCCCCAATGAAAACAATGAGAAGTACTTCTGAGAAGACATGCATAGGATTGCATTGCAGATATATCAGTCAAGACCTCAATCACAATAACAAGCCAAAGGATTTCAAAGCCCTTATTTTATTTTGTATTTTTTGGCTGTTTGATATGAGCTCAGCTGAAGTCAACACCGCAGCAGCAGAAAACTGTCAGCATACTGAAGACTCAGCATCCAGTCTCCTCCTTTCTTCGCATAATGGCCTTCTCAACTGCACACAAGTGGTTCAAGACCAATTCCCTTCCCATGGCACATTCCATCATTAGATGTTAAAGCTCCTGAAAAATGCTATTCCTCCATATTTCTGGCCATTTTAAATGTGCATCGACTTACAAATCCCGAACACTGCCATCAGCATCTTCTCAAAATAAAAGCTCACCCACCCACACAAACACACACACACACACACACACACACACCCTTCATAAAAGTGAGGAAACCATAACTCGCACAGTCTTCTTTAGCTGTAGAAGTGCAAACAATTTGTTGCAACGCAGCTGCGAAATGGCATTCTATACATAGCAAGTGGAAGAAAGACCATCATCATTAAAAGTTTCTGCTGTGCTGGCTTGTATCCAGTATTGCATGCTATTTATTAAACCTAATAGTTACTTGTTATCTAAAGGGTCCCCAAGTGACTTACACCAGTCGGTAGAGCATTGGGCTAAACCACTGAGCCTCTTGGGCTTGCTGATCAGAAGGTTGGCGGTTCTAATCCCAGTGACAGGGTGAGCTCCCATTGCTCTGTCCCAGTTCCTGCCAACCTAGCAGTTCGAAAGCATACCAGTGCAAGTAGATAAATAGGTACTGCTGCGGCAGGAAGGTAAACGGCACTTCCATGCACTCTGGCACTCGCCATGGTCCTCCATGCGCCAGTAGTGGTTTAGTTATGCTGGCCACATGCCCGGAAAACTGTCTGTAGACAAATGCCGGCTCCCTTGGCCTGAAAGCGAGATGAGCACCTTTGACTGGACTTAACTGTCCAGGGTCCTTTACCTTTGACTTTTACCTGGGTAAAAAGATTCCTGCATTTGAGGGAGTTGGATTAGATGATCCAAACACTGACACACAAACATCCTTAGCCAAGAAGTCAACAATCTTTTCATATGCAAGCTGCAACTGGTTAAGGGTACTGTGAGTTGTTGTTGCTGTTGTTGTTGTTGTTGTTGTTTAGTCATTTAGTCGTGTCTGACTCTTCATGACCCATGGAGCAGAGCACGCCAGGCACTCCTGTCTTCCACTGCCTCCCACAGTTTGGTCAAACTCATGCTGGTAGCTTTGAGAACACTATACAAACATCTCATCCTCTGTCGTCCCCTTCTCCTTGTGCCCTCCATCTTTCCCAACATCAGGGTCTTTTCCAGGGAGTCTTCTCTTCTCATGAGGTGGCCAAAGTATTGGAGCCTCAGCTTCAGGATTTGTCCTTCCAGTGAGCACTCAGGGCGGATTTCCTTCAGAATGGAGAGGTTTGATCTTCTTGCAGTCCATGGGATTCTCAAGAGTCTCCTCCAGCACCATAATTCAAAAGCATCGATTCATAGGTGATTAGCCTTCTTTATGGTCCAGCTCTCACTTCCATACATCACAACTGGGAAAACCATAGCTTTAACTATACAGACATTTGTCAGCAAGATGATGTCTCTGCTCCTAATAGCTCAACTGTGAGTTGTTAGGAGACCCCCTATTTCCCCTCACAGAACTACAATTCCCAAAGTTTTCTCTGAAGCGGGGTTGGTTGTTAAACCACTCCAAGAAATTGTAGCTCTGTGAGGGGAATAGGGGTCTCCTAAGTGCTTTCAGCACCCTTAACAAACTACAGCTCCCAGAATTCTTTGGGGCAAAGCCTTGTTTTAAAATGGTATGATAGCGCTTCAGCTCTATGGTGCAAAAGTAGGCAAAGGCACAGCAAGCTGCAGCTCTACAGCCTCAGCTCAAAGAACCACAACGTAAAATCAAGACTTTGCAAAACGTTTCTTTGCAAAAGTGTTTGATATTTTAAGAAGTAGGTTACAGCCCATGACCAGATCAATCTGTTTCTGCTGGGACGAATAAAAAATAGCATTGCACAGTTTTCAAAACACTTTGCAGTGGCTCCCCCCTTTTTAAAAAAAGGGTGTTTTTATTGGGGTGCTGCAGTTATTCAACTGCACCAAACAATAAGATATAAAAATTGAGATGGTAAGTTTTTAAATAAAGTTCCTGGTTGAAATTTGGCACTGAGCGATGAAAGAAGCTTCAAATGAATGTAGCATTTCAAATTAACATAACAGAATTATAAAGCAATAAGCAAAAACTTACACATTCTGTCAGTCTTCCATCTAATTGGTGTAATTTGCATTGTAGCACTGGGAAGCATAGCAGGAAATGTGATTCTTCTTCTGCAGCAGACACTAAAGAAGAATTGTAATTAAGGTTGTGTGCAGGGCACATAGTTTATTTCTGAGTTCTCCCTATTTGCATTTATTTGTATTGTAATTGTTTTTTTATGGGGATATTTTTATGACTCTGTCATTTTATCAGGATTGTAAGACAAGAAAATCACTGTTGTTAACTTACAACAGCTGCCTATTATCTTTCACTAGTTATTTTCAGTGTACAAAGGTTACCCTTCTCAACTATTCTCTGAGGAACTTTAAGCTGAGAGGTAGTAATTTAGCAAAAGTGACCAGCAAGCTATTTGAATGACTAGGGACGTGAAGAACCTTGTAATGAGCACCAGAAAATCACAATTTAGATAATACAGTTCACCTAAAGCTTACAAAATTTATAGAGGCAGGGCCTTTTCAATAGTGGCCCCATATCTTCCAAACTATATTTTGAGATATATTGTATTTATATATAGCTGCATCTTTGTTTTTAAACAAAACTTTAACATGTATTGTTTCAAAGTGTGTTCTGTTGATAGCATCGTTAGCTGGGTCTTGTATTGTTTAGATGGCTGCTGCTTTTAGGGATAATTTGGTGATTAGATTGTTTTCTTTATTTTTTTTTAAAAAGGTTTTATTTGTAGTTTTAACAGATTTTTCAGGGCTTTAATGATCTTTTGTAAGCTGTTTTGGCAAGGCCTTGCCCTATAGGCAGCATTTTTGTATTGAAAATAAATAAATAAAGCAAATAAATAAGTAAATACAAAGTAAATACTCATGAATCCAAACCAGAAAACAATCTTGAAGAATGTGAGATGTTATACTAGTCATAACCAAAATCTTCCTTGCTACTCTCAAAAATCGTTTCTTGCCTTCTTCTGAATTTATGAGTATGAGCTGCAGCAAACTTTAGGCTCATTTATTTGTTTGTTTATTGTTTCAGGTATTAATATATTCTTTAATATTCAAGGTTTCTAAGCAATGTAGAAATTGTGAATGAAGTGTGCTCCCTTCTCTATCTTCACATGAGGGGAAGATATTGAAAGCTTCCACTTTTGGTGTTGATTAAGCCACAGTTTCCCGATATGTCAGCTTAGGAAACTGTGGTATTATTAACAACCCAAAAGTACAGTAGTAGGGTATTACATCGCACCATATAAGAAGCAAGTGTCAATAAGAAAAATTGTACAGTGGTACCTCAGGTTAAGTACTTAATTCGTTCCGGAGGTCCGTTCTTAACCTGAAACTGTTCTTAACCTGAAGCACCACTGTAGCTAATGGGGCCTCCCGCTGCTGCCACGTCGCCGAAGCATGATTTCTGTTCTCATCCTGAAGCAAAGTTCTTAACCCGAGGTACTATTTCTGGGTTAGCGCAGTCTGTAACCTGAAGCGTATGTAACCCGAGGTACCACTGTATATTAAAAATAAATTATGTAAGTTACCTAACTGAGGCATAATGGGCAGCAAGACGAATAGCGGAGTTTTTGAGGAAGATGAACTGCAGTGGAGTAGAAACAGTGCTGCGTGGAGCAAATGCAGGGTGGGATGGGGAAAAGATGCCTTTTTATACAGCTAGCTGTGGCTATTTGAGATTTGCGGCAGTAAAGCAAAGATCTGGGGGGGTAGGCCCTGTTTCTTTTGTGTACTTGCCTAAATCTCTTAGAAAACAATATGGTAAGCTAAATCAAAGTTTAAGTGGCCCGCAGCCCAGTGAAGTTGATGGGATTATCACGCATGCACACACACATTTAGTTAAGATCTGACTGAGATTTTGTATTAGTTCTCTTGTTACAGTTTTTTCTCATTTCCATTATGCAATCTGACTAGAATTGTTCTAAATCCGAAGCAAGGCTTGAAGAAACACCATTCAGGTACCAAGGGACCTCAGACGTACATGGTGTGTGAAATATAAAATATTCACTACACATAGAAGTGTCTGGAAAACTCTCGGGTGCTTTCACCGCTGAGAGTGGAAAATTGAAATAAATTTGAATTAAAGGAGAAAAATTAACAGTTATAAAATTAGAAGTGCGTGAAATTAAAATGTGATTGCAATTTTGTTTTAAACAGCTAGCTTGACAAAGAAAGAAAGAAATACCAGGAATAATTTATTTAAACATCATAAATTCTTCCAGGAATAATGTGTACTAATTTTAGGATTCGTAGCACCTTTTGACTGGAGATGTCAAAGAACTTTAGAAATATTACATCAGTTTTGCGTCATTCCATCTCTGGCTCGGGATGCTCCACCCTCACACGTCCAAAAGAACACCACACCACAAGACATGTGCATCAAATACATCACACCAGGAAGGTTTCAAGAAGCAGATTCCAAATGTATCTAGACACTGACATGTGTACCACAGAGCAAGAGAAGGAGAAGTGTTCGTTATTTTGGTATATATTTTTTGTTTTAATATTGTAAACCACCCTATGATCTTTGGATGAATGGTAGTATAGAAATTATTATTATAATTATTGTTATGTACTGAAGTTTTCACCCTGGGCCAGCATGGGGATACTGTAGATAGTTTTCACTCAGGTCCACTTATGCAAATAAGGAATTGAAAGTGGCGTTCAGTAATTGGATAGTTACAGAAAATTGTTACTGTTGCGTTGTAGGGAGCTCTATATAAGCAGGCTGGCTGAACCCTTCAGTTCAGTTCTTTTCTGGCCTCTGAATAAACAAGAGCTGTTTGAAGAATTTCTGTGTCGTCTGATATGTTCACCCACAACGTAACAATTATTATTATTATTATTAGGCAAGGGATTCTCCTATTTTTCTACACAAAATAATAATAATTATTGCAGGTGTTCACTGCAGCTGCAAGGCTCTCCACTGTCTGTGTTTCCCAGTATTTTTTGAATACTGTGGGCTTTTTAAACACACCACATTTCCTGGAATGTCCAGGAAAAGTTTTGATAGCCAAGTCACCTTGGAGCAGCTGCCCAAATCAGAAATGAATTGTTACAAATGGAAGTAACCCTAGGTCTGGTGGGTTCAAAAGCATCTAGATATCCTTAGCATATGATCCTGGCTTGCAGCCATGGCCAGGATCAATCGCTGCGAAAAGGGGGTTAAGGGCTGTGTGACAACAATGTTTATATTTTAAAAGAGAACAGTGATTTCTTGCCCATTTGGTTTCAGAGGAAAGCTTCAAAACCAAGCCCTGTAGCATGCAAAAAGCTTTGAAGCCATGAAAAGCTTAGAAGTCACTTAAGAAACAAAACAAAAAATATCTTCAGTGTTTCTTTTTTTTCTCTCCCCCAGACTAATGTTCTGCCCTATCTCGGTTTTGAAGGCTTAGTGTGCTTTTTAAAGATTTGGAACTAGCATTCAGAAGTGTGTAACCAAAATCATAACAGCTCTGTCCCTTCTCCTTCTCTTTTTCTCCCCGTGAAACAAAAAAATAATAATAATCTTCATTAAAATGCAAATAGGCACATCCTATAAACATTTAGATGAAGAGGGTATTGGAGAGTTTGCAATTTTAATAAACTGTTAATATGAAAGCTGTGGCTTTCTGGCTAAATTAGAATTTGCATTCTCTTGAGATTTGATGTGCTTAGAATGCTCTGCTTTATTTGTTGGGCTGTTAAACAATGCTAGCATATGGGCCCAGTTTCAGAATGAAGGGGAAGAGGAGATAAAAGTTTCCAACTAATCTTGAAGCTTGAAAGTGGATCCTGAGAGTCTGTCTGATTGCAAAGAGACTGACATTTCAAGGCTGGAAGGATGAATGCAGCCCATAAATTCCGCCACCACACATCCATGTCCTCTTATCCCAGAACCCTCTGCAAGGGCTTTCCCCCCAAACTCGCAATGCCGTTTGCTGGACTCTTGATGGCCTTGTCAGGTAACCTATCATACTGATCTCAAGCACACTGGCTTTGCTCAAACTGTCTTGGTTTCTGAGATTTAGCTTTGAAATGCTATAATCCACCCCTTTCCAGATAACATGCAGGCCCCATGGGGATCATATAACCATGAAAGAACAACAGAGAGGGAAGTGTGTTTTCCCTCTGGATTATTACTATAATATATATATATATATATATATATATATATATATAAATGCTATAAATACTTTATATACTATTTTTATATATCTTGGTTAAATCAGATCAGTGACGCATTAGCAGAAACCTGTCAGGTTCTTTTGTCCGTGAACAGTTCTCAAGAACTAGCATGAGTAATTTATTATGCAGCACTGCTGACTTTAGGCTCCTGCCTGTGATGTTCCATTGGGGACCAGGAGCTGGATTTGCCAGACAGCTACAGTTTTCATGCAAGGAACACAGAGAACACTTAAGTAACCAGGGCTTTTTCAGTTGCTGATACTTTACTTGGAAAACAAAGAAAGTACGGTACCTCTGTCTGTCTGTCTGTCTGTCTGTCTGTCTCTCTCTCTCTCTCTCT